CCCCAAAACCCCAAAACCCCAAAACCCCAAAACCCCATGTCTCTTTTTAATTTATAAATTCATATTTAAAATGGAAGAAAATCAAGACTTTGACATGTATGAGGATAGTTACCACACCGAAGCCAAGCATGAAGTCCAGGGACTCGACAGGAACGGTGTCATGCCAGTTATGCCTGGCTCAATCAAAAATTCTAGGAACACCCATATCAGAGGAGCCCATTCTGAAAAAGCGAATAAGCGACAGAGAAATGGCTTTGATGCTTCCGACCCTCTTAGTGAAGGTACTTGCTTTCTTCAAGATTTAGTTTGTTAATAATTTATGCTTCACAATGCTAGAGTCTACTTCATTTGATAGAAAATTCTTTCAGTGCAAACTGAGAGAATTCCATTTAAATTAATTATAAGAAATTTGAGATTCTTTACGCAAGGATAACCTCTTTAGACCCTTCAGACGACAGAAGCAACAAATTCAAAGAAATGGGTACCAACTCTCGAGCAGGTAATTGTCTTCACGCTGTTCTGAACAAATAGGTTTGCAAGAAGGGTCTCCCAATAAAAATAAGCAATTGAAAACAATGAGTCTGGGACGAGAGTTAAAATAAAAAGCAATTTGAGGACTTCCCTAAGCCTCGCTCTGCAGAGGAAACCATGAACTTGATTGTAGAAAGTTTTCTTGACGGTGAAGATGGATACTGATTAGACCCCAACCATGTGATATTACCTAGCTTTGATGAAGCTCGTCACTCTACGAAGAATAATGGAATGATCAAAGCTTACGCAGCAAATACGAACCAAGGAGTCTTCAGAAACTACAACGAAGACCGAGTCTCCATCATCCTGAACATCACCATGCCTGCGTTCAAACAACTCGAAGAGTGGCCTACGTGCAGCTTCTTCGCAGTGTACGACGGCCATGGAGGAGCGTCTTGTGCTGACTTTTTGAGAGACAATTTGCACCAGTTCATCATCAAACAAGAGTCGTTTCCATCTGATCCTCACTTGGCAATCCGAGAAGGCTTCCAAGAGGCTGAAGACTTCTTCCTTGAAATTGTTGAGAACGCTGCAGATGAAGCCATGAGAGAAGCCCAGGCCACCGACCATGAAGGCTATGTCGATAACAGCGGGTCTTGTGCAATCGTCATTCTGATCGTCGACCACAAAGTCTACGTGGCCAACGTAGGAGACAGCAGAGCACTCATGTCAGCAGACGGCGGCCGCAGAGTCCTCGAACTCAGCAAAGACCACAAGCCCAATGAAGAACGCGAAACCGTCAGGATCATCCAGAACGGTGGCAAAATTTACCAGACCCAGACAGTTGTGCCCAAGATGGATGGAACTGGAAGTGAGTGCATTCTCGGTCCGCACAGAGTGTTTCCAGGCAGACTGAGCGTGTCTAGGTCGTTCGGAGATATCGAAGCCAAGCTCCCGAAGTACGGAGGAAACATGAAGGGCATCATCGCCACTCCTGAAATCAGAGTCTTTGACGTTGATGATTCAATGGACTACATCATCTTGGCTTGCGACGGAATCTTCGACAAACTGACCAATAAAGAAGTAATCCAGACTGTCTGGGAGGGAGTCATGGAGAGCAGCATTCAGGACCCTCACAGACATTGCGGAATCGCCGTAGACCGCATCCTCAGGACCTCAGTTGCGAAGAAGACTATGGACAACATCACTGTGGTCTTTGTGGCTTTCAACAACTTTGAGAGGTGCATTCTTGGAGGACCGAAGCCATTTCAGAGCAGTCAGGCCAACATCCAGAAAGTTAACTCGGACTCTCAAGGTTATGTGGTTGACGAAGAGTCGATGGATGAAGAAGACTTTCCTGCTCATTGCATTTCAGACTTCGGCTACATCAAAGGTAGATGAGAGACTCCACCTTATCTCAAGCCGAGACCCAAAGGACATGTGAACAAGTTCGAAGCTCCCACAATCATCACATCAAATCCAGAAGAACTGTGAAATGAGCCTCCACAAGTGTTGCCAGGATACGAGAACATTGGAGTTGATTGAAGCAAAAACATGGAAGACCCTAACTGGGCAGTCGAGTCAGAGAAGGACTACAAACACGAAGAATTTGAAGAGGGAGAAATACAACACCCGTATGACAACCTCAGTTCACAAAAATTTGCTGAAAATCTTAATGATACTGGCCATGTAAGTTTGAAACTGTTCTGAATCGATGCTTTCTATTTTACAAATTCTTATTATACCTCACTTTTTTATCATTTTCCAACTTTTAACTACTTTTTAAATTTTAGTATCTTTATTCATTCTGCTTGTAAAAATTACAACTAAATTCTAAACCTCAATTGTCTGTAAATACTTACCTTTCTCGTTACAGGGTGAGAATTCACAAAGCAACAGTCATTCAAAGAAGAAATTTGATGATTTTGAGCCTACTAAAATACAAAAGACTCAAAAAGTAGAGCAGAAGAAAATATTTAAATCATCAAATACCCAAAAGATTCCTGAGCATAACAGCGGAGTGTCTTATAAAAATAGGCCAGATTCTAAAGAAAATAGTAAACCTCGTGTTGTAAAATCAGCCAAGAGAGGCTCTTCTGAGAATACAAAGAAAGTCAGCTCCAAGATACTTGCTAACTCTAGTATTGCAAAGAGTCAGAAGAGAGCCACTTCTAATAAGGATAGGAAACAGAAGTCATCTCCAATTAGGACAACTAAGATATCAGAGAAGAATGAGATGGGAGTTACCCATTACTTCTCTAATAAACCCAAACCATCTTCTAGTAAAGGTCAGAAACAGTACCTTACAAAAAGTAGCAATTCAGGAAGAGCTGGCAAGAATGATGGGGCGTACAAAGAACCTATTTATCGTCACGCAAAGCTAATAAAGGCTAATAACCTAAATCTATCGTTGAATAATTACAAAACAGAGATGCAGTTACCACAGGCCGCTAAGTATATCGCAGACCCACAGTTTGCTAAATCACCTTTCCTCTCAAAGACAATGCAAGGAGTGATGCAGCCAAAGCCTGCAGGAAAGAAAAAGGCTACTAAATATGGAATGTTAGGCTACTCCTTCCAACCTAAAGGTGGTAGTAAGAAAAGAGAGGGATCAGCTCATAGCAACAAATCCAGAAAGGACACCTCAAATTCAACTAAAAAGAGGTAGCAAGGATAAGAGCAAGCTGTTTAACACTAAAAAGTTGAGTTTCAACTACTATAATGGAAAGCAAATGCAAAATCTCAATGATTTCCTAAGCAAGAATGCTTTAAAAACATCAAAAATCTACAACTCAAGGAATGACAAAACAATGGGATTTGGAAATGGAGGCCATTTCTTAACTACAGGAGACGGTATGCTTGACAAGAGGTACAGCAACAGAGCAAGACAACCAAAGCAAACATATTATATTAATAAAAACCGGATGAACAAGACAATGGTGAGTGATATGAATAAGTCAGCTCATCAGGATTACTCTTTTACTCACTCTACTTATCAGAAGAGGAGCGGCTCAGGGAAAGTTAAAAAGAGAGGAACTTATGTCAAAGATAATCTCGTCAGAGAGAGGCACTCTAAAGAAGGTACAGATAGAGATTTAAAGTTCAATCTAAAATCTAAATCTCAGAAGCCAAAGAGCGGGAGGAACATCTCTAGGAATAACAAAAACACAGGGATATATAATATGGCTCCCGTGATGAATAATGCTTATAAGAAATAATTTTATTACAAAATCTTCAAGCTGAAGGTTTCATTAAGGGGTTTTGGGGTTTTGGGGTTTTGGGGTTTTGGGGTTTTGGGG